AAATGACCTACTGAGGCACTTGCTGTTCTGTGTATTTCTAAGGAAGTGTCAACAATCATGACTGTGGAAGATTTACCAGCTTCAGGCAGGCAGACTGACATTACCATAGAAGGATTCAAGAGCCATACTATGCTTATAGCAAATCTTGTATCTCCATGGCTTAATAATTGTAAAACAGTAATATTCCAGACGACCTCCAAGAGTGACGAGTGAACAGCCAACACTGAGACACGACAGAGGAAGTGATTCTCGGGCTCTCAGGTCCTGGGAGCTTCTGTGAAATGTGGGTAAAGGAGACGCGACTTCACCGTTTGTTTGCGCATGTCCGTCTCGCTTTCTGACAGGCCCTCAGTCCAGACTCAGAGAAATAGAGCACCACTGAAAATAGAGTCCGGCAAATATTTCTGTGAATTCTGCAGCCACGACAGCTGACAGCTTGATGACATGATGAGCCAAATTGTTCCAGAAGCTGGTGGCGTGCAGTGTGGAAAGAGAAAGGTTTTAGCTAAGCAATTCTGGACGCTTCAGCTCGTGAGCCCCCATGGCCGTCTTAGCCGACTGCAGCTTCCTGTGGATACTTTAGCTAGTGGAGCATTTCCAATATGTTGATCTCCTTAGTTCCGCCTAAAAATATCTCAGGGAAAAAAAAAAGTGCCAGGGGCTGAACAAACTCTGAGGATAGGGTTTAATACAACCCGGGGAGGCAGCAATTTTTAGGAGGCCACGTGGTAGCAAGAACTCATGAGAACAGCGTGTGGACTATGCCCTCCAGCGCCCGGTTCCTCTGGGGAACAGTAAACAGTGGGTACAGTTTTCACTGTGACTGCTAAAACCACTACATCAGCTGTTCCCATCGGCAACACATCCGCGTGCTGCCTAAAGGTGACAGCAAAATCACTGCAGCTTGTACCCTGTCCTCGCTCCTTACTAGGTAGCTACCAAAAGCATTCAAGCATTTGTTTTGTAAACAGTTCTATTTTTTCAAGGCAAAAAATATTATCTTTAAATATTTATTCGTGTATTTTCCGTACTGTTTATGGGTTTGATGCAGACCCGAGTTAAGCAATAAATAAACAAACAAACAAATAAATAAATAAATAAAATAAGGAGCACAAGTCAATGAGCAGTTAGCTTAGTTGGTTAGAGGGTGGTGCTAATTAAAAAGCTGTGCAAATCATAACAAGGCTGGTTCTTGATGCAGCCTGTAGATGCCCATGCCATCTTGTACTGAGTGTGCTGGCTGGGTGTATGTCAACTTGACACAACCTAGAGTCATTTTGAGGAAAACACAGTTGAGAAAATTCCTCCAGCAGTTTGCCCTCAGGACCAGCCTGCAGTGTATTTTCTTGATCAATGATTGATGTGGCGACACTCCTGGGCAAATGGCCCGGGAGTGTATAAGAAAGCAAGCCATGAGGACCAAGCCAGCAAGCAGCACTCCTCCATGGCTTGTGGTTCAGTTCCTTCCTCCAAGTTCCTGCCTTGAGTTCCTGCCCTGACTTCCTTTAGCAATGGCATTGTACAACTCTCAGATGTACGAGTTGTAAGTAAAATAAACCCTTTCCTCCACGCGCTGCTCTGGGTCATGGCCATCACAGCAATAGAAACCGAACACAGAGTTAAGATGCCATTCCCCACACTGAGTGTCACTCCGTAGGAAGGCTTGGAAGAACCTGGCTGTCTCTCAGAGGCTTACCATAACAACCTGCCTCTGCCAGAACTGTCCAAACAGTCTACTTGAGCAAACTATTTATTGGGGAGATTTCCCTTTCGAGCTGAAATGATTCAAGACTCCTGGGGTTCATAAAGAAGGGCTTTATTTTTGCTAATGGGAATTCAAGCAAAAACTCTTTAAGCTCTTTGACTCATCTGATTCTCCTGCACAGAAAACTGTGCTTCAAGAAACATAGTCAACTTCAGTAGTCAGTTAGAATAACTACAGTGGATATGAGATATTATCTGTCTCACTATGTATCTACCTATCTGTCCATCCATCCATCCATCCATCCACCCATCCATCCATCCATCCATCCATCCATCCCTATCCTGAAAACATTCAAATGAGATTCCTTGGGGAAAACACTTCTGTTATAGTTTAGACCTCGAACAACCTCCACAGGCCAAATTCTTAATGGCTTATTTCTCCGGCTGGTGCTATGCAAGGTGGTTGAACCATTAAGAAGTAGACTTCATGGTAAGACTGCTATTGGAGATACACCCTAGAAGAAGACTGTGGATCCTTCATGGCCTCTTTCCCACTTTCTTTCACTTCTTAGATATTAGATGAATGGCGTTGCTCACTTGCCTGAGTTCCTATTACAGAGTTCTGCCTTGCCACTGGCCCAAAGGAATGGACAACTTGGTCATGGATTAACACCTGCAGACCTATGAGCCAAGGTACTTTCCTCTTTATAAGTTAATGACCTTAGGGTCCTCACTGGGGTGAGGGAACACTGCCTACTACCATTCCATTCAAAACTTTCCTAAAGGGATTTGCAGGTGTTCTTAACCAAATCTGCCCTGGTGAAGGGATTACCAGTGCAAGCCTTTGAGTGTCACTGGCTTATAGCCTAACTCCACCATTTAGTGTCATTAGACACGTTTTAAGCATGTTTTAACATGTTTAGCAAATTATCTCTTAGTACACTTTTTTGTTTAGTAAGAACAATAATCCAACTCTTGTAGGGATTAAATATGTCATATGCTTAGAATCATGGTCGATCAACCTATTGTCATTATACTTCAAAAGCTCTGTCATTGCTGAAACCATAAGCACTCTACAGCACAGGAATAATAATATCCATGTCTTATTGGTGATTATAATGAAGCTCACCCACATGTTTTCAAAAATCATCTGTTGATAAGCCAAGATTTGAATCCCAGTCTTGGTCTCTTAAACACTACATTATTTCCAATTCCACTGAATGATTCACATCGATTATTTACACTAGTCCATAGCAAACATAGACACTGTGAAATGTTGGCAGTGGGCAAATTCAGAAAAGAAGAAACAGTTGAGACATTCTATCAAGTCTAGGAGAAAGTAAACGATCAGCGGTTGCAAGTGTTCGCGGAAGCAGCGGCCCCTGACGTCATGACTTAGTATATAGTAATTTTGAATACTTCAAATTCTAAATGAGAAAAAAAGCAGAAGGGGGGAGGACAAGGAGAATGGAAGAGGAGTACTCATAAATAATTTAAAATGATTTTGCGTTCATTACGCTAACATACGAAGTAAGAGGTTTCCTTGTAGCGCTCTTCTCCACTTTGTTCTCATTTATCCCCCTTCCCTGCTGTCCCCTGTGCCCCCTGTGCCCCCTGTTGCTGATACTCTCCCTCTACCCACAGAGAGCCCCATTCCGCTTTCATGGGCATGTATTTTTTGTCTTAAATTTTACTCTTTTCTGAAAACAGATAAACTCCCATCTTGAAAAAAATAATCACCTCAAGAAAACACAGAGCTATGGAATGTTTGCACAACCTAAGAGAGACTTGAATGTCTAAAGGTGAAGTTTGTCTCCTCGTTGCCACCATAATTCACGAGCTCATGGTGGCCTTGCTGGCTCTGATATACAGTGGACATTGAGGCCTCTTAGGCCTCGAAGAAGGAGGCTATTACCCCCATGAATCCTTAGCCACATGCAAGTTTTATGAGACAACCAGAAGCTGGTCAATACTCACAGACAACTGGCACACCCCGTCGTTCCTAATGAATTTTAATAAGTTAGAACATTTAAATGGAGCCCTGGGGAAATGATTCTCCATGACTGACACTCCTTGTGGTATCGGCCTCTGTTCTCATTCATAAGCTTTGGCTGTGTCAGCCTTTAGGACTTTCATGAGAATTCTACTTAGTACAAGAAGTCTCTTCATTAGGAATCTAGTTTAGATTTTAAGATGAGCAAAACATGCAAATCCTTCAAATTACCTTCGAATTATAAAATGTAGTTTAAAAAAAAACACATTAAAAGCTACATTTCAGGGATGGTTTCTGGGGGAGGGAGTATTGCGGAAGGGTAAAAAGGCCTCCGGTAGGCTGACCATGCTCCAGTGGGTGGTCCCATACCCTTGGATGCGTGAGCAGCACAAAGTGGATTCAGTGGGTTACAAATAGATAGATAGATAGATAGATAGATAGATAGATAGATAGATAGATAGATAGATAGACAGACAGATAGATAGATAGATGACACAAAATTGGAAGGCAGTAAGAAGGTGGGGGTAGATCTGGGAGGACTTGGGGGATGAAGCAGGGGATGACTATGATCAAAATACGTTGCATGAGATTTTTACATATTAATAAAAGTTTTGCAAAGACACACATTTCAAGCAAAGGTAAGAATGCTCAAAATGACCAGCATAGACAAAAGGGCACCGTTCAGCTTCAAATGAGTAGCAAACACGCCATGCATATGATCAGCATGAGCTTTTCCTGCGGTTCCCATCCTGACAAGGCTTCTCAGAGTAGCCCAGGTGGAAATGTGGCATTGCTTAGCTACAGATTTTAAAGTCTCTACAATTCCATTGACTCAGAATAATGAACATTCCTGAGAGGTAGAACCATACATTGTGATTTAGTTCAACAAGTGCTTGTCTATTTTTCCCTTTCAGCCTCGGTTTCTCTCAGCATCTTAGTTGTCTTTATGGCTCTAACTGGCCTTAAAGGGCACAGGACAAACTTGAAATCAGAAGACAGAACAGCACCATTATTCTAAGCAAATAATTACTGAGATAATAAAAATGGCGATTTCTTTTTTTAAAGACAACCCCCACCCTTGCTTTGCTGTTTGTTTGTTTGTTTTTTCTCTTTATTTTGATGAACAATCCTGTCTGGTACCCACTTCAACTAGCTTCAGACCAACGAGTGTTTGTGGACTAGGTGACCCAGTCCCATCAACACCAACAAAGCACGTGTTTGAGGTCCCACTGCATGCCAGGCATAACCTCATGATTTCCTGATTCTTGCCGATAAAATCAGAGTCCCCCAAACCCCACCTTACCTGCTTCCCATCCAGGGTGTACAGGCGCTTCACCACGCCCGAGTCCAGCTTGATGGCATCGGTAATGTCAGTGAGAACCTGCTCGAAGGAATGCGCCGTCTTCTTGTTCAGCAGGATCCTGACAGCCTTCCGTGGCTTCACTCCGCTTCTGATGATGGTGACCAGCTTGGGTCGAATGAAATCCTTATTCTCCCGAACCTCTGAGGGTCCCCCCTTGGCAGTGGCCAGCGAAGACACTGCCCGGGAAGCCGAGGTGGTCTTGACGTTCACGGACCAGTTGGGGTTCACATTTTTGGTGTACTCCAACTTCTTAAAGGGCTCAATGGAGCCGCAGACATAGCTTTCACCTGAGGAAGAGAGGGGGATTTCAAGTTGACATCTCGGGGAACCCATCTCCTTCCTCACACTCGGTCTTTCATGTCTCCATTTCTACGAAGGGCAAGAGCTGCCTATGACTTTCAAATCAATGGAAGAATGATTGCAAATTAATTAAAAACATGATTTCTCACCTCCAATATCTTTCTTTTGATGCAGACTAGCTTATTAGGAAGGAAAACAAAGCAAACCAAAACAAAAATCCCCACTTCTCTCCCTTTGGTTGCTGATAGAAACACATCAATATGCATGAATCAGCTTCCAAAGGGAAAACGAACTGGAATTCAAAATTGAGATTATCAGTTGGTACATAAGGGCCTTTAAATTTTCGGCAGACTTCAAAATTAGAAGTGCTTACATCTGGTACCTGAGGTCATTGGAAAACTACAACCAAATCAGTCCACAGCTTCTTAAGATAGGTAATACATGTTTAGTGACAGCACACTACAAAATTCTGTTTAGCCAGAAAAAGTCGTCAAAGCCAGCAGAGATGATTACCCTTCTGTTCTATCGTCTAGGTCATGCTGACCGAGCCACACACGCAAGCAAGTCAGTGCAAACTTGCTGACAGGCGAAAATGAGGAAAACAACTCCCCTGCAAGCTGTACCCTCACAAATGCACTCGAATACCACGAAGGGTTTATTAATCGGTGACTCGAGAATTTGCTAACGAAACACTCAGTCTGAAAATATCTAGATTAGTCACAAAAGAATACAGCGCAGGTGCTGTAATTGTGAAATAAGTGGTTCTAAATACATATTTCACAGGGATGAGGCAGAAACATGACAAAAGGAAAGATTTAATCCCAGCACCCCTACCCCACCCACACCTCATTAGGAAGCCTTTGTGAGCAGAACCTGGTAACCGCGGGTAAAGTGGCCCAGGCCTCATTCGGCACAATCCGTTTACTGTTATCCAAGTTCTATTTTTACACCAACAATGCAAGCGTGCCATGCCATAGGCTTAGGCAGCCACATAAAAATATCCCATCCCCAACTGGAGTTTCAAAAATAAAAAGACAGTTGCGTCTGCGCCTTAGTTTGCCTCGTTTGGTTGAGGTTAAACACTAACCGAGATAAACCTGGGGAGAAAGGGTTTATTTCAGCTTCTGGCTCCATCATGGAGTGAAGTCGGGCATGACCCGCAAGGCAGGAACCTGGAGGCAGGCGCTGAAGCAGAAGAGGTCATGGAGGAGGGCGCTGCTTACTGGCTTGTTCGCCATGGTTTGCGCAGCCTGCTTTCTTAGAGCACCCGGGACCACCTGCCCAGGGGTGACACTGACCATGGTGGGTCAAGTTCTCCTACGTCAATCATTAGTTAAGAAAATATTCCAAGGCCGGGTGGTGGTGCACACCTTTAATTCCAGTACTCAGGAGGCAGAGGCAGGCGGATCTCTGTGAGTTCTAGGCCAGTCTGGTCTACAAGAGCTAGTTCCAGGACACCAGGACAGGCCCCAAAGCTACAGAGAAGCCCTGTCTCGGAAAAACCAAAAAAAAAAAAAAAAAAA